AGTCCCACAGACAGGGTAAGAGGTGGGGAGGGAACAGCAGGATTAAACACTCAGCGGGGGAGAAGGAGCCCTGCTGTCTGCCAGGGGACAATCTGGGCACGGGGCTGAGGTGAAGCACCAGCCTTTCCATGGGGTTCGACTGTTGAAGCCACCTGGGGTCTGCTGGGGCTGCTGGGAGGTGCAGGAGGAGGTGACCTCCAGGGCTGGTTCCCTGCAGGTGATGTTTGTGTGCAGCAGGTCCATGAGGATGGTGGTGGCTTTGTGGACACAGCCTGGGAGAGGCAGGTGCAGGTGGTCAGAGGAGTCATGCTGTGGGATCCAGGTGTGTCCTGATGGTCTCTCCACGGCTGTAACGGGAGCTGGGCTGGAGGCATCAATCGTGGGGAGAGAAACCACAGCCTCTGCTGGGAGAAATGATGCCCCTTCGAGGGAAGCCACCAACTGCCAGCACTTCAGAGGTGTCAGACCAGCCGGGCCAGCTCCAGGCAGTGGCCCAGCGGCCCTGGGACAACAGACAGGATCCTCCTGCCTGGCCCGGGGACCCTTGGACTCCACTCCCAAGGATGCAGCCCAGAACAAAGCTCGACCGGAATTACTGAACCCACAGTGAGGTGCAATTAGTGACTTCGTGGTGTCATTAACTGCCCAGCGTAAGGCAGGCTGGAAAGAGAGGTCAGGCAGGGAGAGCTGTTGAGGAGGGAGCAGGGAGGAGAGGTCCTGTCTGCTGGGAACAGAGGGACCTCCTGCCCAGGTGTGCTCCCCAGAGCCAAACCGACCTGCTGGGTCAGAGGGAAACGGCCCCGCGGCTGCTCAGCCGGTCCCGCCGCACCCAGCCCCGGGAATGTGCATCCCCAGCATGAATGGCAGCTCGGGAAGGACGGGCAGGACCTCCCCCACATGGCACCGAGTCACACACCCACGCAGGGCTGGCCCCTCACCAGCACACACAGACACACAGACACACAAACAGACACACACGCATGTGCAGCTCCAGCTACAGACCCAGTCTCTCCCTTGCACACGCACACACAGGGACACGTACACACACATGGAGTCACCTGCATGGAGTCAGGTCCTGGGCTGCGTCCCCAGCAGTGTGACCAGCAGGGCCAGGGGGGGATTGTCCCTCTGCTGAGCCCCCTGCAGGGCTGGGGCCAGGCTGGGGTCCCCAGCACAGAAAG